AGGGGCAGAACCAGCCCAGGGCAGGCTTTGGGGATCCTGGGGAGCAGCTGTGGTTCAGCACTTGGATATTAAGCTGCTGGTTGGTGTAGGGAATGTGGTGCAAAGCTGGAGTCTTCACTCTCCACAGGATGCCCAGTTTGTGCCTGTAACTGGCTGAAAGGGAAGACATTTGGAATTTGAGAAGGGCACTGAGAACAGGCACCACTTTCAGAGCAGGACTGGTGTCTGGGGTGTACCTTGAGAACAGGGAATCCCTCTGGGATGACACAGGAGCATTTTTTCCTCTGGAGATGCTGCTGGTGACTGTTGGCAGCAGCTGTGTGAGGAAAGGGGATCCTTGGAATGGCTTTTTAGCCCAGCAGCCTTTCAGGGCAGGGCCATCCCTGCTCCTGGGGGCTCCATGGTGCTGCTGCTGCTCCCTGAGCACCCTCTCCACCTTTTGAGAAGGAAATCCATTACTGCTGCTGCCAGCACTGGAATTGCACCTCCTAAACTCAGCCCTGCTGGGTTGATGTCAGATGTTTATTTGGACATCCTGTTTTCTCTGGACAGTGCAAATAGAGAATAAAAGGAGCTGAGTTAAAAGCAGGTTTAGGTTCCTGGTTTCTGGGTGAAAGAGGCAAAGTTATTTTCATGGAAAAGTTCTGGCCACCTCCTGGTGAGAGACAGGAAAAACGTTTCCCCAGTCTGGTCTTTGAAGGGAGTTATGTCTCTGACAGGCTGCAAACCCACTGGTGCCCTCTGCTCCTGTCACAGGGAAGTCTCTGCTGTGCCCTCCAAGCAATCGTGGCTCTCCATGGGACTGGAAAACTGCCCCTTCCCATCCCTGGGATTGCTGAGAGCAATGTTTGGCAGAGAAAACCGACTATCCCTTCCCAACCCTGGGAGAGCTCAGAGGAAATCCTGGTGTTTGTCAGGGAAAACTGGAGCTGCTAAATGCTGGAGATGTGGGTGATGATGTGGAAGGTTTGCACTGCGGAGCTCGACCCCTGAAGGAGCTCAGAGCCAATGATTCCAGCACTGTTCCCATCGGTTTCTCCAGAAGGAGCTGGAGTTGGTGCCGTTACAGGAGGGCTGAGCACAGGGAATAGTCAGGAGTGGCTTTGTGTGGTGACAGTAATTACTTCATATACCTCTTGCTGTGTCTTTCTTTGAACCACAACCTGCTTGGCCTGACCCTGCTGTCACCTTTCACCACCTTTCCGTGTATCCAAGTGACCAGACTTGAATTCTCTGATTGATCAGAGGTGGACGACTTGGAGATAAGGCTGTGGCTCTTACAGTGTAAATTTGGTTCTTGTTTGCTTCTCTGCCTCGTTCTACATGTAGCACCTGTGCCCTTGGAATTGTTTCCCCCTGGATGAGAACCTCTGCCTTCAAGGGCTCCTCTCCTGCCCCTGCTCACACCAGAGAGGACACAGCTTTGTCTGCTCTGACATCACCCCCAAACATGCTACATGTGTGTTGACACAGGAATTGCATGTCCTCAGTCTCCTAACCATGAGAGCCCTCACCTCCCTGTTACCAGGACACCTTTAAATTCAGGCAGCACAGAGGCTGAATTTAAATTTTTAGCTTGGGAGCCTTACAGGGCAAAGCCATCCCTGCTCCTGGGATGCTCCAGCTCCCCGGGGCTGCTGCTGCTGCCTCAGCACAGAGCCCACCCTCAGCACCCTCTTGGGAAGGAAATCCATGACTGCTGCTGCCAGCACTGGAATTGCACCTCCTAAAGGCAGCCCTCCTGGGTTGATGCCAGCTATATTTATTTGGACATCCTGTTTTCTCTGGGCAGTGCAAATAGAGCTTAAAATGAGCTGAGTTAACAGCTTTTTGTGCCTAAAGAGCTAAAAAAAAGAAATCTCCTTTTTTCCAGTATGACAGGGAAGTGCCACTGGCCTCAGTGACAGTGCTCCCCTGGGCAGGAGTCTCCCAGGTGGCTGGCAGGTGCTCCAGCTGCCTCCCACAGCCTGTCTGGAGCACTGGGAGCCTGGGATACCCTGGGAAGGTGTGGAGGGAAGTGGCTGTGTCCTCCCTGCTCCTGGGCTCACTGCCCAAGGCACAGCTGGGGAAGGGACGTGCCCCGTCCATGTGTCCCTGCCTGCTTGGGCTGTGCTTTCCTTAGTTCAGGGTGACAATCCAGAGGAGCCACCTCCCTGTGTCCCAACCTCCCCCTTCCCACCAGATCCCACTGGCCGTGTGTTGCCAGCCCTGTGCTTTGGCAGAGCCTGAGCCAAGCCTGCCCTCCCTGTGGGTGGGATCTGCTCTGGGGCAGCCCCAGCCCCTCTGCTGCCCGAATTTAAGGTTGTCCTGTAACACGGGGAGCTGAGGGCTCTAATGGCTGTAAGACGTGAGGACAGTAAATTCCTGTTGACACACATGTATCATCTTGGGCTGTGATGCCCTGTGCCTGTTGTGTCCCTGATGTTTGGTCTCCACACGCTGTGCCTCTGGATTATCATCCTGGAGGGAGCACAGAGTATCCAGCTGTGTCCCTCAGCTGGCTTTTGTTGTTTTCCTTTCAGTGCCTTTTGAGTTTGTCTGGAGCCAGTCCCACCAAACCCAGCAGGATTTCTAGTTTTGTTTACAGTGGACTGTGATTTTTGGTTTTGCTCTTGCTCTTTGTGGAGGTAACTCGTCTGATGTTACTGTGAATATCAAGAATTCCCTGTATATAATTAACCAATAAACTAGATTGCATTTTACTGTGCTGGGGGTGTGTTTTGGAGACAATCCTCAGTGCCCCCCTCAGAGGGAGCAGCAGGGCCCAGTGTCCCTGTTCAGGGGGTGGGAATGAGGAGCAGAGTCCTCTGGGCCTGAGCAATTCACCCTGGAGCTGCTGGAATGGGAATGTGGGAAGTCACTGATGCTGAGTTTCTGTTTGTTCCAGCCCAGTCACACTTTGCAGGTGATGGAGAGAGGAGTTGGTGCCTCACAGACCTGCCTTCCCTGGACAGGGAAGAATCCAGGACAGGAATTCAGGGAGCTGTAACAACCTCCTGAGGTGTTGCCCTCTCAGAGCTGGGCCCTGCTGGGAATGCCAGGACAGCAGAGAATCCCCAGTCATTCCGTGTGGTGTCAGACAGGAAAGACAGCTCTGCTCCAGGCCAGGCTGTGGCTCTTCCCAGCTGGAAAACAAACATTTAAGTTCTGTACATTTGGGGCATCTACAATATGTGAAGCTTGAATGTAACTAAAATCCAGTTTGGAGCATTGCTTGGGACACTGAAAAACCAGAACTGGAGCTGTCCTGGAAGATGGTAGAAAGCAGCTCCTAAATTCCCTGTGGGTGTCCTGGTGCAGGTCCCAGGGCTGCAGGGAGCAGAGTTTCCTAAACACCACCATCTGCTCAGATTTTATAAGTTGGTTCCTTCAGGTCCCCTCCTCTGTGGGGCTCTGCCCCCAGTCTCACCTTCCAGAGCCCAGGCACTGATGGGGGTAAATCCAGGGATGTGCTGGAAAAAATCACCTTGCCTTTGGGCTTTTCATCCATAAGGAAATACTTGGTGACCTTTGATCCAAGCAGCAACAGTCCCTGGGGCTCCATTCCCAGGGTGACAAACCAGGGCAGCTGAGGTGACACAGAGGTGGAAGGAGGAACTGTAAAGGAAAAACTGCTTAGTCAGGAAACACGGGATATCATTCCGTCATATCCATGTGCCAGTGCAACATCCAGGTGTGCAGCCATTCCCTGCTAAAGGCCCAGCTGTGACATGGATTGGGAAGCAGCTCTGGGACACGTTTAACAGACGCAGGGGATTCTTTCCTGCCTCCTCAGGAGAGGGCGGGGCAGCACCTGGAAGCAGAGCCTGAGCACCCAGAGCTGTGGCACCGCTGCCTTCAACCCAAAACACCCATCAGACACTTCCCAGGACCTTCCCGTCGGTGGGCAGGGCTGGAGGTTCCCATGGAACATCCCTGGGGCTGGTTTAGGATCAGCAAATCACCCGATCCCCGAGGATCCTCCCGCAGGGTTTTACCTCCAGGTGTTCCCATTTCCAGCAGTGCTTAACAATTAACACGATTTAACAATCGTGTGCTTGTTATGATGATTTTTTTTTTTTAAAAAAAAAGGACGTGTTTATTTAAAACAAAACACTGGGCCAAGAGGGGCGTTCATGGGTGTGTTAACCGAACTTAAAAAACTAAGGCAACCGAAAAGGGAGAGCGCCGAGGGGGGAGGACGAGGCCCCGGCCCCTCCGGGCTGCGCTGCGGCCCCGGCGCCGCGCTCAGAACTCGAAGGTGCCGAAGTGCGCGGTCCGCCCGCCGGCCTTGGGCTGCGGTTTGTACCCGATGCGCTCATTGATGAGCTGCTCGCGGCTCTTGTGCTCCGTGCCCAGCGCGAGCGCCGCCGCCTCCTCCCCGCCCGCCGCCGCCTCCGCCTCGTCGCGCTGCTTCCTGCGGCCCTGCGGGCGAACGGGCCGGTCAGGGCCGGGGGGGCGCGCCCGGGGAGCGCCGCGCCCGGCCCCGCGCGCACCTCCAGCTCCTTCCGCACGCTCTCGAACTCCTCGATGTCGTCCAGCTTCAGCTCCAGCCGCGTCGGCTTCCGACGGAGCATCGCGACCGGCGACCCCTGACCGGCGACAGCGGCACCGGGATCGGGAGCGGCACCGGGACCGGCCCGAACGCTCCCGCTCTCCGCGCTCCCGCCACTCCTCCCGGCGTGCCCCGCGTGTGCCGCCCTTAGCGGGCAATGTACCTCCCGGCGTGCTTCGCGCGTCCCGCCCTCCCTGCCACACCTCCCGGCGTGCCTGGCGCGTTCTGCCCTTAGCGGACAATGCACTTCCCGGCGTGCTTCGCGAGCTCCGATCTCAGCCCTCCCCGCCACACCTCCCGGCGTGCCCCGCGCCTGCCGCTGCCCGCCCGCTCTTGCCGCATCTCCCGGCGTGCCTCGCGCGTCTCGCCCTTAGCGGACAACGCACCTCCCGGCGTGCCCCGCGCTCAGCGCTCCCCGCCGCACCTCCCGGCGTGCACCGCGCGACCCGGAAGTGCCTGTGAGGCTCTGGACGCAGAGAGCGTCCAGTCCCATTCCCGTCCCATTTTCCGTTCTTTTCCCGTTTCCCCGCGCTGTTCCCGGTCCCGTTCCCGCCATGGCCGCCGCGCGAGCTCCGGCGGCGCGAGCCGGGGCCCGGCCCCCCGAGGTGGGTGCGTCCAGGGCGCGGGGGCGGCCCCGGGCCCGTTCCCCGCATGTAGCAGCGGCACCGCGGGAGGGGCCGCGCGGGGGTCGCGGCGGCTGCTGCCCTGTGGGGTTTGCGGAGCTGCCAGAGCTGTTCAAAAAGCCGGGGGCGGAGCGCTCACGTGTTTTCCTGCATGTTTTTCCAAATCCTTTAATTTTTCCCGGGGGGTTGTGCCGCCCCTCGGCTGGGAAGGAGCCGGGCACTGCTCACCTTCACCCGCCTTCCAGGAGCTCGGGGAGGGCCATGCTGGGGCTCAGTGGGAGGAGGAGAAGCCTCGTGTTCTAAAGCTTCGTCAAAAAATAAATCCCGCAGAGCCTTAAACCCGAGCTCCGTGCAGATAATAAACAAGGACACGGCACAGCCTGATGGATGCAGTTTAACGTGGCATTATACTTTTGCCCTTGGGACGTAAATAACCTCACTGTCCACGGGCTGCTCCATCCCTGGAAGTGTCCAAGGCCATGTTGGAGCCACCCTGGTCGAGTGGAAGGTGTCCCTGCTCTTGGCAAGGGTGGAATGAGATGAACTCAAACTTCCCTCTCTACCCAACCCAGTGTGTGATTCCATGAAACCCCATTCCAGGGCCTCTCCATATTTCACACCCCATTTTCCCTGGCACAGCCAGGTTGTTTGTTGTCTCTTTGTACCCAAACTGTTCCTCTCCCTGCAGCCCCCCAAGGCCAAGCCCACCGAGGAGGGTGATGGCCCCCCGGCCAAGAGAGCCCCGATCTTCTACGGGAGCCTGGAGGAGAAGGAGAGGGAGAGACTGGCCAAGGGGGAGCCAGGGCTGCTGGGCAAGGAGGGCATGAAGGCTGCCCTGGAGGCTGGGAACATCAACATCAGCAGTGGTGAGGATGGAAACACCCTTTGTTTTATTCCCTTTGTGAAATGTGACACTTCCAAATGCCTGTTGTTATCCCTCCTGTCAGATGTGACACTTCCCAACGTCTCTGGGCACCATCTCAGAGCAGGAACAGGATGGGCACCTTGGATCTTCCCATGTGGGAGGGATCCAGTGGCAGAGCCCTGGAACAGCTGCCCAGGGTGTGGAGTGTCCCTCTCTGGGGACATCCCAAACCCACCTGGATGTGTTCCTGTGTCACCTGCTCTGGGTGACCCTGACTGGGCAGAGGGGTCAGGCTGGGTGGGCTCCAGAGGGCCCTTCCAGCCTGAGCCATCTGTGATCCAGTGATTCTGTGATCCTGTGATTCTGTGATCCTGTATTCCCCTGTTTCTCCCTGTGCTCCCTGGTGGCTCTCCTGTGATCCTTGGTGTCTCCCCTTTGCTCCCTGTGTTCCCTGCTGGCTCACTGTGTTCCCTGCTGGCTCACTGTTGGCTCCTCTGTGCTCCCTGATGGTTCCCTGTGCTCCCTGATGTCCCACTTGTGCTCCTTGGTGGCTGCCCTGTGATTGTTATCCTGTGCTCCCTGTGCTTCCTGGTGTCTCCCCTGATCCCTGGTGTCTCCCCTGATCCCTGGTATCTCTCTGGTGTCCCCCCTGTGCCCAGCTGTGTTTTCTCTGTGCCAGGGGAGGTGTTTGACCTGGAGGACCACCTGAGCGAGCGCCAGGCCGAGGTGCTGGCGGAGTTCGAGCGGCGGAAGCGCGCGCGGCAGATCAACGTGTCCACGGACGACGCCGAGGTCAAGGCCTGCCTGAGGGCCCTGGGGGAGCCCATCACCCTCTTTGGAGAGGGGCCTGCAGAGCGCAGGGAGAGGTGCTGTGTCTGCTGGGGGGCACTCTGTGGCTACCACATTCCTGCTGTTTTCCTGGGAGAGCTGGGGGTGTTCAGCCCGGGGAGGAGAAGGCTCCAGGGAGACCCCTTCCAGTGCCTAAAGGGGCTCCTCCAAGAGAGCTGGAGAGGGACTTTGGACAGGACAAGGGAAAATGGCTTCCCACTGCCAGAGGGCAGCGTTAGATGGGATGTTGGGAAGGAATTGTTCCCTATAAGGGTGGTGAGGCCCTGGCACAGGTTGCCCAGAGAAGCTGTGGCTGCCCCATCCCTGGAAGTGTCCAAGGCCAGGTTGGACGGGGCTTGGAGCAACCTGGGCTAGTGGGAGGTGTCCCTGCCCATGGCAGGGGGGTGAATGGGATGAGCTTTAAGGTCTCTCCCAACCCTCCCAACCCAAACCAGCCTGTTACTCTGTTCTAAGAACCCCAAGACAGAAGGAAGGTCTCACTGAGTAAATCCAACTTCATGTGTTTCTTCCCAGGTTGAGAAACATCCTCTCAGTGGTTGGCACAGATGCGTTAAAGAAGACCAGGAAAGATGATGACAGGTCAAAAAAGTCCAAAGAAGAGGTGAGGGGGTCTCCTGTCCTCTCAGAGTTGAGAGAGAGATCTGGTCTCTGGTAGATCCAGGCCTCCTGGTTTTGGTCAGTGTGTGGATTCTCATGTCATCCCTTCAGGCTTTTCCTGTGTTCTCCCTTTTAGCAGACCTGTGGCAATATTTGGTCTCAGTGAGGAGCACCAAGTGTGGTTTGCACTCCCAGGCCAAGTACTCAGCTGCACTCAGTGTGCAAACCAGGAGAGCAGGTGTTTGGGCTCTCACTCACCATAGCAGGTTCTTTATTCTTAGTTGTCTTCACACTTGGGAAGAAAAAAATATGTTCCTACTGCTGCATCTCTTTCTGCCTCTGACTGTTCTTTCTGCCTCTGTCTCTCTTCTGAGTCCGTTTTTCCTTATTATTTTTGAGCTGTGCTTTGAGAAATAATTTCTGCAGCTCTGGGCTCTCTCTTTGCTGGGTGATGTGTAAAACAGGAGTTACGTGTCAGTAAGTCCAACCCAGTCAGTGTTCAGTTGGAATGTTCCTGGCAGTGTGTCAGGATCGGATCCATAGGGCAGAGGCTGTGGTTTATCTTTCTTAATCCCTTTTTCTGGGGCTTATACTGATGCATAAAGGCCTTAAAAAGAGGCCAGAGCCCAGCAGGGTTTGGGAGCAGGTGCTGTGAGGAGGCAGCTGAGGGGAATGAGTGGAGGAGCTTTTCCATCACTTTTATTCCTGTTTTTACAGTATCAGCAGACCTGGTACCACGAGGGCCCACGGAGTCTGAAAACAGCCAGGCTGTGGCTGGCAAACTACTCCCTGCCCAGGTGAGAGGGAACTGCACAAATGAGGAGGGACATGCAACCATTTGTCAACTCCAAGGGCTGATCCCACTGTGGGTACCATGGGAAAGCCAAGGAGTGGGGAGCACACACTGGGAAGCAACTCCAGAGAGCCCAGAGCTTGAACTCTCAGGAACTGATCCAGCATTAGCCCAGTTTGGGGGAGAAGGAGGAGGGCAGGGCCTGTTTGCAGAGCAGGGAAGGGGCTCATCCCTCCCCTGTGCTGTTCCCAGGGCAGCAAAGCGGCTGGAGGAGGCCCGGCTGCTCAAGGAGATTCCCGAGGCCACCAGGACATCCCAGAGGCAGGAGCTGCACAAATCCCTGCGGGTATGTTGGGCACTGCACCCCTGCTGTGATCCTGCAGGGAGCTCAGCAGGAACTGAGCTGCCCCAGGTGCACCCTGGTCTCTGAACTGTTGGGAGGCTCCGCTTTTCCTCTCTCCTGTGTCTCTAAAGCACGTTCTGACTCTCCCGATCCAGGGAGATGGATTTTGTCCCTGTGCATGGCAGAGGGATCAGAGACATCCCTGCCTTGCCTTGCCACTTGGCTGTGAAGCTACAGGAATGTATTCCTGGCTTTGGCTGGGTTTGGCTGGCTGGGAAGGGACATAAAACCCTGGAGATCACCTCCAGCTCCGTGGGGCAGAGCATGGCTGGGGTGGCTCCCAGGTGCCCTTTCCAAGCACACTGAGCCAGATTCCCGGCTTAGCCAGGCAGAGGCTCAGGCACAGCATGTGCTGCCCCCCTAATCCTGTTTAATCCAGAGCCATCAGCTGCCAGAGGATTTGCTTCTCCCCTCTGTGCCCTGCACTGCTGGTCCATCTGTCTGGTTGGATTCCTTGGATGAGTTGTGGAAAGAGGCCAAACTCCAGGCAGTTCTGTGTCAGGGCTGCAGAGCTGGGGGCAGTGGGGACAGGTACCATGGGTGGCCCAGGGGGGCTGAGCTGAGCCCCCAGGCTGTGCTGGCTCCCCTGGGCCAGGCTGGCCCTGACCCTCCTGCGTGGAGCTGCAGTGGCTCCGAGGCAGCTCCTCCCTTGGAATGTGACTTTCCAGGGGTCTCTGCCTCCTCCTGCACACATTTGGCTCCATCACCTCAGGCTTTGGCTTTGACTGGGCCTTGCTCTGGGCTGGCTGTACTCCAGTCATTGATTGTTTTCTGTGTTTTTACAGTCCCTCAATAACTTCTGCAGCCAGATTGGGGACGATCGCCCGCTGTCCTACTGCCACTTCAGCCCCAACTCCAAGCTCCTGGCCACGGCCTGCTGGTGAGATCTCTGTGGCAACACTGCTTTAGGGGCTGTGTGAGCACAGGAGGGAAGGACAGGGGTGTTCTTGGAGGTTTGGGAATCGTGAGAGTCCAGAAATGTTTTTATTTCCTATTCTGAGCTCTTGTCACTTCGTTTTAGAGCTGAGCAGAGATTTCAGTCTGAGCCTGTTGGTTTCTGTGCTGGTTGCCCAAAGTGTGTTGCTATTTCAGTCACTGCAGAACCCCCAGGGTGGCTTTGCAGCTCTGTTTGATCTGTTCCTCGACATTCCTGTCTCCACTGACATCCATTCCTTGTGTTCCACAGGAGTGGGCTGTGCAAGCTCTGGTCTGTGCCCGACTGCAACCTGGTTCACACCTTGCGAGGTACGAGCAGCCCTCACTGAGGCTCTTGGCTTGGTCCTTTTGTTCCTCTCTGGGCTGAGCTCCCACATCTGAATTACTTTGTGACTCAAAATATTCGATTTTGGCAGATTTCTTTCCTACTGAGAGCATCACTGGGGCTTGGGAGCCTGGGAATGTGTCAGATAATCAGGAGGAGAGCTGGCCTTTAGCTCAGACCTCAACCTTGAGTTTGCTATTTCTGATTCTGAACAGTCTCTTGTTTGGTTTCAAAACCTGGATGTGATTTTTGAGTTATAAACACCAGCAGTTTTGGGCAGGTCACTTGACAACAGTGAAGTTCTTTGAGCAGTGGTCACAACTTGGACTAAATACCAACGTGAGCACAAATCTCCTCATTCATGTGTTGAATTTTCACTGCCCTTTGAGTGTTACAAACCTCAGTGTTTTGTACTCTGACTTGGGGCTACTGGAAGTGCAGTTAAGCTGTTGGCAGGAGAGGTGTGACTGGGGGTTTCAGGGCACTGAGGACACGGGGAAAGTTTTCACTGGCTCCTGACTCCTCAGTAACAAGGAAATGCTGCTTTTCTGAAGAACTGGCCAAGATCACGGGGCAGATTCTGAATTTTGGTTTTCCTTTCCCTTCAGGGCACAGCACCAACGTGGGAGCAGTTGTGTTCCACCCCAAAGCCACCGTGTCCCTGGACAAGAAGGACGTCAGCCTGGCCTCGTGTGCTGCCGATGGCTCTGTCAAACTCTGGAACCTGGAAAGGTCAGAACCATTCCAGACGGGCACAGCTGCAGCACTGCTGCTCTGGGGTTTATCTGTGTTCCTAAACATCAGACACTGACCATCCTCCTGCAAATATGACCTCTTCTTGTAGCTATCCCAGTGCCTCAGTATGTGCCACCCTCTTCCCTGGGAAGAGAGATCACCCTGGTTAGGGAGTCAGGGTGAGGGAGGTTGAAAGGAATCGAGTCAGAATTGCTGGGGGGGATGGATGGGAGGCTTGGGGATTGTTTCATTCTGACCTTTTGTTCAGGAGACAATTTCCCCTCTCGGATATTAAGAAATGAACTTTTGAGTGATTGGAAAGCACCAGGATTTGGAGAGGGACTGACCAAACACACAGCCAGGCACAAAAGCTTCAGCCTGTGCTGAAGAGCAGTGGCTGTCCCTGCACAGTGTAGTTTTGGCAGATGGGCAGCATCTCTCTCAGGCCTGTGAGAAGGAGACTGGTGGAGGTACTGAGCCCCAGCATCACCTGCAGAGCACCCAGGAAGGGCAGGCAGCTCCCACATTCCCAGTTGTTTATCCTTGGCTGAAAATCACCATTTCTAACAGCAAAAGTACCCTGTGCAAAGGGACAGGGGGTCGTTGGCCTCATGTGATCAGGTCTCTTAATTAACCAGTGGAAAAAAAGTTAACTGCTGGTTGGGTCATCTGCTGAAGGCTCCTGACCTGCTGCCTCTCATTTTGGGAGAATAAATGTTCACTCCTTCCTGCCTCCCTGCAATCCCTCGGAACAGCAGGTTTTGCTGCAGTTTGGGATGTTCTGTGTGTTCTCAGTAAACTCCCAGCAGCTCAGGTAGTCTGTGGTTTGTTTCTGCACTTCCAAAGTGCTAATGACAAGGGAATTGTTAATATTCCAGAATAATAATCACCATCATCATCCCAGGAGAGCTTCATAACCAAGGGGAGTGGATAAAGGGTTTCACTCAGAGCTTTAGGTGCGGGAACCAAAGGCAAATTACAGAGTTTTTACAACTGTGATGTTCATGTCTAGTTTGATTTGATCAGCAGATGTTTTACTGCCTCACAACGTGTTGGCAAAGGCCTGGCACCTCTGGCCAGTGCCCGAAGGGTTGTTGTGTGTTTCAGTGATGAGCCCATGGCAGATATCGAAGGACACAGCATGAGAGTGGCCCGTGTGATGTGGCACCCGTCGGGGAGGTTCCTGGGCACCACCTGGTACGGACACTTGGGGATTTGCTTCCAGCAGGACCATGGGCTGTCCCACTGCTGGCCCAGTGGTGCCAGGGCTCGTCCACAGCAGAGCCTGGCACGGGCAGGGCTTGGCCATTCCTGACCACAGCTGGGCTTGCTGCAGTGTCAGTAACAGCAGGTCACAGGGATTCCTTTCCCTGCCCCTGAGTGAGACACTGTTGGTGCCCAGCTGGAAATAAAACGCCCCCAGAGTTAGTGAAATATCCTTTATTCTCCTTGGAGATACATGGAGTCCACAGGAAACAGCCTCGAGTTGTGCCAGGGGAGGTTTAGGTTGGATATTGGGAAAAATCTCTTCAGGGAAAGGGTTGTCCAGCCCTGGCACAAACTGCCCAGGGCAGTGGGGGAGTCACCACTGGGCATGTTCCAAAAACATGGAGATGTGGCAGCTGGGGACATGGGTTGGTGAGCACAGCAGTGCTGGGGGAATGGTTGGACTTGATGATCTTGGAGGGCTTTTCCAACCTTAACAACTCCATGATTTCTCTGACAACTGCCTTGTTTGTGCAGCTACGATCACTCGTGGCGCCTGTGGGACCTGGAGGCCCAGGAGGAGATCCTGCACCAGGAGGGGCACAGCAAGGGGGTCTATGACATCGCCTTCCACACTGACGGCTCCCTCGCCGGCACCGGGTGGGTTGGCCTGGGACTGGGGCTGGGTGGGACATGTTACCAAGGGTTTGGTGCTGACCAGAGATTTCTGCTGGAGGAACGGCTTCCCACTGCCAGAGGGAAGATAGATGGGATATCATGGAGAAATTCTTCCCTGTGAGGGTGGTGAGGGACTGGGATGGAATTCCCATGGCTGCCCCATCCCTGGAAGTGTCCAAGGCCAGGTTGGACAGGGCTTGGAGCAACCTGGGCTAGTGGAAAGTGTCCCTGCCCACAGCAGGGGGGTAGAATGAGATGAGCTTTAAGGTCCCTCCCAACCCATCCCAGCCTGTGACTGTGATTCCAGTGGCCTGGATGCCTTTGGCCGGGTGTGGGACCTGCGCACCGGGCGCTGCATCATGTTCCTGGAAGGTCACCTGAAGGAGATCTACGGGATTAACTTCTCCCCCAACGGGTAAGAAGGGAACTGTGAGGTTTACATGGGAGCTCCGAGTGCAAACCCCATTCCCCAAAAACTGCCCTTCCTCCCCCCCGGGCAGGTACCACGTGGCCACGGGCAGCGGTGACAACACCTGCAAGGTGTGGGACCTGCGGCAGAGGAAGTGCATCTACACCATCCCTGCCCACCAGAACCTGGTCACCGGCGTCAGGTTTGAACGTGAGTGTCTGGTGTTCCTGATCCCTGCCCCTCCAGAGCAGCTCCAGCCACACCTGCAGGGCAAGAAGGGCCTGTGGTGGTGAGCTGAGCTTTGCCATGTTTTTATTTGCAACCCCTTTCCTCCTCCTCTGCAGCCAACCACGGGAACTTCCTGCTCACGGGCGCCTACGACAACACGGCCAAGATCTGGACCCACCCTGGCTGGTCCCCTCTGAAGACACTGGCAGGGCACGAGGGGAAGGTGATGGGCCTGGACATCTCCCTGGATGGGCAGCTCATTGCCACCTGCTCCTACGACAGAACCTTCAAGCTGTGGACAGCTGAGTAGCTCAGAAGGGCTGGTTATGAACTGGGTTAATGGTTTTCAATTGCTTTTTTATATTAAAAAAAAACAAAACAGGAATCAGCAGTTCCAACATGTGTCCAGCAGCAGCAGTCACAGCTGCTCTGGGGGTCAGGTGTGTTTGAAGCACCACTGTTGGCCAGGGCTTGGCTGGAGTCAGCTCTTGGGTGATGTTTTCCCACTTTTAGGACTGGTTTTATACTGCAGACACCACTTCCTGCTGTAACTTGGGAGATGATCCATCTGCTTCCACCCTCCCTCCCAAGCCAGGCTCCCAGGTGGACACACAGGTGTCCCCCAGCCTGTGTTAAACATCTGCAGTTCCCACAGAGCACCTCAGGGTTGGTGTGTGGCGCAGCCTCTGTTCCTGCCCTTCTGACCTTCCTGTTCCTGTTCCTTTGGTACACTCTGCCTGCAGGCTGGAGTTGCATTTAGGGACAGGCAGAGGAGCTGTCAGAGGGGGAGGTGGTGCCCCCCTTCCCCTGCCTTGGCAGGAGTGTCTCTGGATGGAGATCTGCATCCCCTTGGATTCACTCACAGGATATGAGTGAAAAACGTCCCCCAAGGCCAGGGAGGTTTTTCTTTCCCTTGTACCACCTCGTGTCCCACTCCTTGGGCTGTCCCATGGACTGGGAGTTGCAAATCCCTGTGGGCATCTCCTGTTTCAGTTCTGCTGTGTCTCACCCGAGGTGATACAAAGGTCATTCAGTGTAGGATTGTCTTGTTCTACCTTGCCCTGTGGGGAGCTTTCCTACTTCTTGTTTGTTCTTTACATTGAGGTTTTGCAAATGTTTTGTCCTGGAAAATCAAAACACGTTTTGGATGTGCATCCTGGGCTCTGGGTCTGACTAAGGAATGGAGAAATTACAGGAATTTCACAAAACACAGTTTGATTCCTGTCTGCTGTTGTAAAAAAACAGCTGAGGAGAGGTGAGGACACGGGGTTTGTTCAGCCTGGAGAAGGGGAGGCTGAGGGGAGACCTCAGGGGTCTGCAGGTTTCTCATGAGGGGCAGCTCCAATCTCTGCACCCTGTGAGCAGTGACAGGACCCAGGGAATGGCTGGAGCTGTGCCAGGGCAGGCTCAGGTTGGATCTCAAGGAAAGGTTCTTCCCCCAGAGGCTGGTTGGGCACTGACCAGGCTCCCCAGGGCAGTGGGCACAGCACCAAGACTGCCAGAGCTCCAGGAGGGTTTGGACAAGGCTCTGAGGGACAGGGTGGGATTGTTGGGGTGTCTGTGCAGGGCCAGGAGCTGGACTGGATGATCCTGGTGGGTCCCTCCAGTTCAGGATATTCTGTGATTCTATAAAAACCTTCATGAGAAAAGAGAAGAGGATTCCTCTCCCTGTTTTCAGCTGGAGAGCAGCTGTCTGTGGTCCCTGGGAAGGTGAGCACAGTTCTGTTCCCAACACTCTCAGTGCAGTTGGAGATGGTGTGTTAAGGAAAAAACCAAACCCCAAACCCACTCCCAAGTTACTTTTCTTCAAGCAGAGTGTTGAGGGCTTTCTCCTCCCTTCCAAGCACCACAGTGGTGTGTGCCATGTGCCACGTGCCATGTGCCAGCTCTTGGTGCCTCCCAGGGAAAATACTATGGGACAAGAGGCCAGCAAGTAACACAGAAGAATATTTAATCACAGTCTCCTCTGGTCCAAGCCTGGACATCAGCTAAAGTGCTACAGTGTGTCCCCCTTGGCTCCTCACAGCTTTGCTCCCTCTGCCCCACCCTGTGCTGCAGGCAGGGTTTGCAAGGAAAACGCCTCGTGCATCCAGGGTTTGGCTTTTCTCCTGGACAGCTCCCCACAGACCACGCGGGAAGTCCCCCTGCCCTGCTGCTGGGACACAAGGGCCCTGTGCCCGCGGGCAGGGGGGGGCTCTGGGGGTTCCATCCCCTCGGGGGCCGGTCTGTGTGGGGGTCCCTGGCTCAGAACGCTGCCAGGGGCTGGTCTGTGTGGGGGTCCCTGGCTCAGAACGCTGCCAGGGGCTGGTCTGTGTTGGGGTCCCTGGCTCAGAACGCCCCCAGCTCCCGCAGGTCCGGCTGGGCGCCGCCGCCCACGCGCAGCACGTGGATTTTGGAGCTGGCGCTGGCACAGAGCAGGGTGGAGCTGTCACAGGCGGCCAGCGAGGCCAGCGGGCCAGAGCCCTCCAGGGACAGCGTGGCCAGGCAGGCTGGGGAGGGAACAGAGGGACACTGAGATGAAGCAGCACCACACCGACCTCCCACCTCCCAGCTCTGCCCTCCTGAGCTGCTCCCCTTGCTCTCCATCCAAAGGCACTGGGGAGATCGTCCCCGGGACAAAGGAGCTGGGCAAGAAAAGCAGCCTAAAAAGAGCCAGGGGGGATCAGAGCAGCAGCTTTGCCAGCCAAGAAAAACCAGCAGAGACATGAGGGAATCGCCTTCCAATTCATTGCCATTTGCTGGGGGGAGGAAGGATTTCTCTGGCTTTTCCAGTCCCTTGGCATTCCTCAGATGATTGGAAAAGGGTGGCTTTAGCAAGCAACTCAACTGCAGAGTTTGGCTTGGAGAGGATGTGCCCTCTGGAAGAGAGAGAGACCCTCCCCCCTGTACAGCCCCCAGGGGATCTGAGCATTGGTCTGGGCACTGACTGGCTGACAGGGATCCAGACTGGGGTCAGGCTCTGCCCCTTCCCTGCAGAGGAAGCAGGGCTGGATGGACAGACAGACCCCCCTGGGCAGAGCTGCAGGGCTTGCTTGGAGCCATTCCCAACACGCCTTTTTCTCCCAAATTTCTTCCACTCCAGAATATGTTTTCCTAAGGGCTGTGTTACACTCACACAGTTTTGATGAGCCTCCAAAAAGGGAAGAGAAATCAGACTGACAATATCCAGCACCACATCAGCCCTTCTGTGTGTTATTAAACCCCCCTGAGGCAGAGTTTGTGCAGACACACAGCCCCATGTTGAGTTGTCAACAGAGCTGCCCTTGGCACAGACCTACAAGCAGCTGCCTCGTGGTGACCTGCACCCTTCCAAGAGTCACCCAGCAGGGAAGGCAAGAGGATCAAAGCTGCACCTTGGCGTGCACAGGCACAAGGACACATGAACAGGGAAGTGAAACAGCAGGTCCCTCTCTGTGGGAGATCCTCAGGTTTCTATTTTCAACCCATCTTAAATAAGTGCACTTGGGGCTTAACCCCAGGGAGTGTCTAATGCTGGTGCCTTGGACTGCATTCCATGCAGGGCTCTCAACCTGAACAGCTTCCCAAGAGGTCTCTGCTGCTGCAGAAGGGTTACCAAGAGCCTGCTGCTATGGCAGGGCCTGGCAGGTAAACAGCCTTTGTGCAGCTCAGGGGAGGACTCAGCCCTCAGCACCAGCTTTAACCCCACAAGAGCCCTTCAAGGGGGCAACCAAAGTGAGGGCAGTGGCTGAGCAGCCCTCTGTCCTCCAGCACAACCATTCCTTACAACTCTTCAGTGGGATCTCTGAAATGCTCTGGGGTTCTTTTTTATTTTTATCATTTGTTCGTTGCTGAACTTGGATGTATCTTTAAAAGCTATCTCATAATTCTTCCTTTTAGTTTAGGAAGGACACTTGTCACCTCTGACATGCACCCAACCCACCTCCTCCTCTGCAGGGCAAGCAGAAGCCCCTGGGTTTGCTCTGGGGGATGTCTCCACCCTGCCCTGCAGCTGGAATGGAGTAAATTCCAGAGATTTCAGGCTTCATCCCGCCCATCACCACCGGGAGACAGACACAAGGAAGCAGTTTTGTTCTCCCAGAGCACCGAGGATGGGCAGGAGCCCCCCCTACCTGCCGTGTCCCGGTGCCAGACCTTCACTGTGCTGTCGCTGGAGGACGTGGCAACGCTGGGGGCGAGGGCTGGGCCCCGGGGGAGGAAAACACACGAGGTGGTGGTGTGGAAATGCCCCCTGTACTCACACACCCGGCCCCGGGTCTGCCGCAGGTCCCACAGCTGCAAGGGAACAGGAGAGCTTAGAGCCGGGTCTGACACTGTCAGGGCCAGCAGGGAGCCGATTTACACAGTTAGGAAGACAGGGTTGGGTAAGTTGCTCCTTGCCAATCCTCAATGTCCATTGCCTTTGTCCCTGCTCCTGCTCACAGTCCTGGGGAACGTCAAATCCCAAAGGATTTTCACCATCGATGACTATTTGAGCACTTGCCCACAGAGCCAAGGCTGTGCAGGCAGGTAACAAGGCTCCAGCCTGGTCCCATCCTCAGCCCTGCCCTCCCTGGGAGGGGATGGGATGGGATGGAGGGAGATGGGATGGGATGGGATGGGATGGGATGGGATGGGATGGGATGGGGGGAAATGGGATGGTCTTGTCCTCTTGATCCTCACACAGGACTGAGAATCTGCCAGTTCTAAGCTCAGTTCTGTCCAAGAGACACAGAACCCCAGCTCTGAACCCATGTGTGGCTAAATGCTCTAACCAGGTTTGGGGTCACTCAGACATTGGCACAGCCCTGTTTGTGTCGTGAGGCAGCCAAGGAAACTGCAAAATTGGTTCACACTGACTGGACCTCCCTAATCATTGAACACTGTGGGTTTTTCTCCTTTTCTTCAAGTGACTTTACCGTGTTCCTGCTTTCAAGGCTTTGTATTTTCAGAGGGGAAAATGTGGATCTGGGAAAGATTCCCCAGGGCACAGAGGAGAAAGGCAAACGTTGCTCAGCAGCACCACAGAATAATGAGCTATTGTGAAAGTTGAATCTCTGGTTTGGAAACACCTGGAGCACAGGGTCCCTTACAGGCTTTCTGCAAGAGCCTCATGCTCCTCGATGCCTTCTGTTGTTTTTTCCCTGTGTGTTTTACTGAAATAAAATCCCAGACTGGTTTGTGTTGGGAGGGACATTAAAAATCAACAAGTTCCATCCCCCTGCCATGGGCAGGGACACCTTCCCCTAGGCCAGGTTGCTCCAAGCCTAATCCAGCCAGGCCTTGAACACCTCCAGGGATGGGGAAAATCCCAGTGCTTTAATCAGGAACATATTCTCTGACATTCCCTGAGCAGAACCAGGAAGACACTAAGCTCTGGCGCTGGCTGGTGACACCAGCACAAATCCAGTGCAGTGGGAGCATTCAGGTCCCTGGAGCACTGCTGTGCTGCTCTCTGCTGTGGGCACTGGAGGGAGGAGCAGGGGCCCAGCACACTCACGGTGGCCTCTCCGCCCTGGCTGCTGCTGAGGCAGTACCGCCCGTCCTGGCTCACGTCACAGCACGTCTGGATGTGCTGCTTGGCTGGGAACGTGTGTGCCACCTGCAGCTCCCGGCTGTCCCAGATCCTGGGGGGAACAGGAGCGGGGAAGGGCACTCTGAGGCATCATCTCCACCACGGGCTTCCCTCCGTGCCCTCCCGCTCTGCCCTTCTGCCATCCCTCCTGGGGCAGCCCCCTCCTGCAATTATCCATCCTGGATCACTCTCCAGCCAGAGCAGCTGAGCTGAGCTTTCTGTTCCACAAACTCTCCTTTTCACCTGCAGTCACCACCCAGTGCTGCTCGCAGCCCCTGTGCCCCTGGCTGTCCTCCCCTGGCACTGTGCTCCAAGGCCCAGGTGAGCTGGAAAGTGGCTTCTGGCCACACCAGCAGCTGGTCATGACAATGACCAAAGAACAGCCCCTTGTGCACTGGCATCTTCCCTAAACCCCACCCGCCCCAGGCTGTCACTCCCTTCTCTGTGACCACACGTAGGACTTACCTGGTTGTTTTATCCTCCGAGGTCTGGATGACATAAGGCTCCCCAGGAACCCAGCACAGGTGTGTGACCTGTGGACAGGGAAGGATGAGCAGGAGCCACCTCTGTGCAGCCCAGGTTGTGTCTGCTGTGGATGCTCCCACCCTCTCCCTCCTCGTGCTGGGTTGGGAGCTGGAAACGTTGGATGAAGGTGTTTCCTGCTCCCTTCCTGGGCCCAGTCCCTGGGCGTGTTTCTGGCAGGGAGGTGCCAGCAGCTCACCAGGACACAGAGCCCTGGGAACAGGGATACCACGGGCACCAGGGGATGGTGTCCACACCAGCTCCACTGCTGGGCTGGTACAGGAGGGAATGCAGAGTGTGGGAGCTGGGGGGGCTCAGTCTGGAGAAAGAGTCTCAGTGGGGACCTTCTCACTCTCTGCAACTCCCTGACAGGAGGGGGGAGCCAGGGCGAGTCAGGCTCTGCTCCCAGGGAACAAGGGACAGGGTGAGAGGCAACAGCCTCAAGCTGTGCCAGGGGAGGTTTAGTTTGGATATTAGGGAAAATTTCTTCACTAAAAGGATGGTCAGGCACTGGCACAGCTGCCCAGGGCACTGGTGGAGTCCCCATCCCTGGAGGGATTTAAAAAATGTGTGGATGTGGCACTTGGGGACATGGGTTACGGGTGGCCTTGGCAGTGCTGGGGGAATGGTGGGACTCAATGATCTTAGGGGGCTTTTCCAACCTCAGTGATTCCATGATTCTGGGTGCTTCCTGACAGCTCAGAGTCAGAGCATTAATAAACTGCCACATATCTCTTGGTACCTTTGTGCTCCTGGACTTGTTGTCAAGGCAGCCTGGGCAGAGCCCGCAGGGCTCCCTTTGGCACCAAGCTCACAGCAAATTCCCTCTACACAGCCTCGTGTGAAAGAACCACGTAGGCAGCGAGGTGCCAAGATGGGATGGGAGGAAGCAGCAGCTCCTACCAGATTCCTGGAGATGGTGGCCCTGGCCAGACACTCCCCAGTCTCTGTGTCCCACTTGCACACGGTGTTGTCTCGTGAGCCCGTGCACAGCTGGGAGGCATCTGCAACCACAAGGGAACAGCAAACCCAAGTCAAGAAGCGTTGTCAGTCAATCCCTGGGGACTGGGGGTGTGCTGTCCCTCACCTGGGCTCACAGCCAGCCCAGTCACAACCAGCTCATGTCCTGGGAAGTGCTGGCTTGGCCCCGACGCCCCGTGAAGCTCCCACATCATCACTGTCTTGTCCCGGGATGCGCTGAAGACTCTGCTGGAGTCAAGGGCAGAGGTGACCTGCCAAGGACAAGAGGCAGAAGCTGGTTATCCTCCCAGCCAGCCCAGCTCTGCTCAGGGAGAACATGACATTTGCTGTCCTGTCACAGCCCAAAACACGCAGGAATGTGCCTGGGGAGAGCCTGACCTTCAAACTCTGTCCCACGTCCCCCCAGAGCCAGGGAGTGGGATGGTGGATGGGTGCTCTCTTGGTCTTACAAACCATTCATTTTATAGGAAAAGCTTCCTTACAAACCCAAATGAGCCCAGTGCTTGGCTGCCTTGAGCACTGGGGTGAATGAAGCCTCCTCTGTCCCTCCATATCCCAATCTAGGGGACCCCTGGGGGCTGTCCCTGGTCGAGGTGCACACACATACACACCCCTGGATGTCTGCTCTCTGAGGAGAGTGCTGGGCTTTGTCATCACAGTCCCAGAAGGGAAATTAAAGCCCTGCTGTTCCCAGGATTGGCTGGCTGTGGAATAACAAGTCCAGCAGAACGAGACCTGAAGAAAAGTGAACAGTGTCTCCAAATCAAAAACTTGATCCCATAATTCAACCTTAACCTTTGCTACACAGTCTCCTGGAGGGGAAGAAAAGCCCATGTCCACACCTCCTGCAGCCCTGTTTAGTCTGTTTAGTCTCCTTGATGCTTCCCTGGACAGCAAAGTATCATTTGGGACCCTGGGAAAGACTTAATGTGTTCTGATCAGGGAACCATGAATCGTTAAGGTTGGAAAAGACCTTTGAGGTCATCACGTCCAACTGTCCCCACTTGGATACCAGGGATACTCTGGTCCCTCTTTCTAGTGGAGCAAAGGGGGCCCTGTGTGATGCCAAACCAGGGCTCCATTATCCCTGGCTCCCCAGGAATGCTGACAGGAGACCCCGGAGCTCTCACCTTGGTGACCTCCCGCTCGTGGCCGACGAAGCGCCGCAGGGCAGCCCCGGATCTCCAGCTGCACACAGCCACACTCTGCAGGGACAGGGCAGGGTCAGCAGGGGCACAGGGCAGGGAGGCTTTCACACTGTGCACAGCCCACAGGGGAGGGAACAGGTTCCTCTGCTTTTGAGCTCCTGCAGCAGATACAGCTGTCTGTAGAGCCAGGGAACATAAGGGCCAGTGATTCCAAGCCTGGGTGAGACCACTTGATGTGATCTGAGCTCAGGGAAGGTTACAAAATTTGATTCCATGTGCTTCAGTGTGTGCCCTCACTCCAAGCTCATCTTTTCTTCCTAAATTCAGGGGCTGACAAAGTTGTTACTCTCCCAGGATGTTCACAGAACAGTTGAACACTTCAAGGAAATGTTCAAAGCTCATATTTAAACCTTATTTTCGAACCTGTTGACATGTTTTCCCTCCCGTGGGCCATGGCAGGGGGTGCCTCACCTTATCCCTGCCCCCTGACACACACAGGTCTGGTTTGAGAGCAGCCACGGAGGTGACGGCGTCGGTGTGAGCGGGGCTGTGCCGGGAGGTGCCCATGGATCCCGTCTGTCCCACGATGGATCCTGTCTGTCCCACGATGGATCCCGTCTGTCCCACGGAGCCATCAGCCCTGCAGCATGGACAGACAGGGTGGGAGCTGCAGGGCATGTGAGACAAGGCCAGGGTGCCATTCCTGTGACACCAGGTCTGGGAGATGGCACTGCTGACACCATCTGATGTGACAACACCTGCCTTAGACAGCCTGAGAGAGGCTGTGAGCAAACCAGGTGAGATGGAACAGACCTACCCCACCTCTAGAGCTGCCAAATATTGGTATGTTTGCTCACTCTGTGCTGGTGCAAAGAATAAAAGAGATTTTGACCTCACCAGCCCCCACTGTCACTCACATGGGTCAGGCTCAGCTGCTCTTTGCTGTGACACCTCCCTGGCCACACAGGGTGAGTGCCCCCCAGCTCTGTGCCCCCCTCTGTGCTCTCAGCTGCTCTCCAGGCAGAGATCCCCCCCCTTGCTGCCAGACACTGAATTATCTCACCTTGCCAACAAAAGCAATGACAGTCTCTGAAGAGACAGCGAAGCAGTTTGGATATTTGGGCCAAAGAGCCGCTCCTGGAGCTGTTCCCCTTCAGAGCTCTGCCTCAGCCATCACAGGGCACGGCCACTCCTGTGAGTGACCTTGGGACTTCAGCCCCCCAAAGAAGCTGAGCAGACTTTAGGAGTGAGAGTCAAAAGTGAAAACCCGACTCACACATTCAGTAATGAAACTGAAACCACGTGCTTGCTCTGTTCTCTGGTCATTTGTGTGCTCTGTTCACTCTCCCACCTGGTTTATTAACAAGACACGATCACCCAGCGTTGCTTTACCCGTATTTGGTGGTGTGGAAGCTGAGTTTACTCTGCAGTTTCCCCATAGCCCTCCAACGAGCAGGGCCCCCCCACGGGGTGTCACATCAGCACCTCAGGCACCTGCTGCAGGGACACGACCTGTGGGTGAGGGGACACAGCATCACCAGGGATCCAGAGGGGTTTCTGCCTCTTACATATACAGGGTAAGGTGCTGGTAACACATTATTTACATCCCAAGTTCATTTAGAATAACAGGAAAACCTCAGAGGAGGGGATATCAGGAGGTCCTGAGCCAAATCTTTGGCTTAGAGCAGAGCCAGCAGCAGGGTGAGGTTATTGGAACCTCATGCTGAGCTTAAAAACACCCAGGCCTGGTGAGGCCACACCAGAGAAGGAGCTGCTGCCTGTCATTCTTCTAGTGCTTTACCCTTTCCTCTTACTCCAGTATCTGGTCTTGACTTCCATATATCCAGGTGAGGAGCCTCTGGCACAGCAGGGCTCAGCATCTCTCCCTCATGTCCTCGCAGGTCACAGACTGAGCACAAACCAGTCTCAGTGACAGTGAATTGTCACAGACAATAACTGGCTGCTGCTTAGCTCAAGGCACACTAATTGGATTTGCCCTGCACTATGTGTATGTTGGCATTCCCATCTTCTGGGGCTGTAATACTTTGCTAATAAAATTCAGGAAAAAAAAACCCCACCTTTTCCAGCAATGAAAAAACCTGCTTGAAGGCTCTGCCCACAGAAACTGGAAAACCAAATCCTGGAAGCACTGAGCAAGAGGGGCTGGGTTTCCACAAAACAATTCCCTTTCTAATTTTACCCTGACAGCCCTTGTGATTAGCAATTAGTAATACCCAGTTAATCACCACCTGCTCTATCCATGAGTTTGCATGTCCCAAAGATGTGAGGAATGATCAATCTCACGGCTGAGGGGCCGTGACAATTTGGCAATTTACTCCTTTCAATCAGACCCTGATCATTTCAGTACACGAGGGACATGACTTTTCTTTGACAAGGGAGAAGTCTGGACATTGCTTCTTCTGCAAAACAAGATTCTAGGAAAAGCCAAGACATAAATTCTGATTTTTAATTACGATGTTCCTTGTTTCCCAGTTAGCTTCCCCACTCCTGTGGTTAATGCAGTCCCTACCTGCACATGAGCTCCGAGGGAGGACACAGAGAAGCTGCTGGTGGCCGCAGGAGGCTCCAGGGAAGGTGAGAGCTCTGTCCTGTGTCTCACTGGGCTCTCCTGCCTCTTCCCCACTGCAAGAAAGAGCATTTTCTGAGCCCTGAGTGAGAGCAGTTCTCAGGCAGGATGTTCATCCAAGGTTTTGCTATCTGCATCCCAACACGTTTATCATCCACCTGCTCCATCACAAAGCTCTAATAACAAAGGGATCCAGCAGCAACTGGACATGAAGTGTCACCTCCAGCAGACTGAGTTTCGTGCTAGAGGATCTCCTTATGCTCCCTTCTGCCTTAAATGTATCACTTGACAGAAATCAAACATACTTTTTACTAAATGCCTTTCAAAAAATAACCCACACTACTGCCTCCACCTGTCCAGGCTCTGCTGTGAAACCCTTACCGTGGATAGGGAATGACAACAGCCACAGCAGTGGGCACGGGGACCCCAGCAGAGCTCCCCCCACCCTTATCACCCCTCGAGGAGGGTGTTTGACCATCTTTGTGGAGGATGGGATGACACCCTGACCCCTAGAGCCGGGGGTGACCCTGTGACAGTGGTGCAGGTCCCTGTGGATGGGGTGGCCCCGTGGGGGTCAATGGGGACATCCTGAGTCTCTATGGATAGGGGTGGCCCTATGGGGCTCAATGGGGCCATCCTGGCTCCCTGTGATGGGGGTGGCCCTGTGGGGGTCAATAGGGACATCATGGGTCCCTGTGATGGGGGTGACCTGTGTGGGGTCAGTGGGGCATTCCAGCTCCCTATGGATGGGGGTGACGCCCTGGGCAGTCAGTGGGGTCATCCTGGCTCCCTGTGATGGGGGTGGCCCTGTGGGGTGTCAGTGGGGTCATCACACGTCCCCAGGGATGGGGGTGGCCCTGTGGGGGTCAATGGGGCCATCTTCACTCCTTGTGATGAGGGTGACCCCCTGGGCGGTCAGTGTGGACATTCCAGGTCCCTGTGATGAGGGTGGCCCTGTGGGGTGTCAATGGGGGCATCCCGGGTCCCTGTGCTGGGGCAGCCCCACAGATGCGATATTGGGGCAGCCTGGCAGGGGCAAGGCGGGCGCAGCCCCTGGGAAGGGTTTGGGAACAATCCGTGTCCCTGTGGCTGGGGCAGCCCCGCCGCCCAGCCCGGGACCCCTCCGCGCACTCACCGTGTCCGGAGCAGCCTCGTCCCGCCGTGTCCCTCGCAAAGCCGGTGCCGCCGTGTCCTTCCCGGTGCCGATCCCGCCGTGTCCCGCCCGGGGCGGGGCCGAGCCGAGCGCTGCCGGGCGGCGCCGCCGCCCCCGCGGCAGGTGCGGGCACAGCATGGCCCGGCGGGGCGGGCCGGAGCGGCTGCGGGTGAGCGGGGGGACTCGGCCCGACCTAACCCCGGCCCCAACCCCGACCCCAACCCCGACCCCGACCCTGACCCTGATCCCGGCCCCGATCCCGGCCCGGGGCTCGCCGGCGGCTGAGGGGAGCCCGGGGCCGGGCGGGGCGGGGAGAGGGGCCGCGTGTGGGACTGGGGAGTGCCGGCGGGGCGTGAGGGTTCCTGAGGGGGGAGTGGGAGTCCCTGGGAGGGTATGGGGGTCCCGGACGGGCTGTGGGTCCGTGAGGGAGTGGGGGGTCCCTGGGAGGTGTGTGGCCGCAGAGATCCCTGCAGGGGTGTGTGGGGATCCCGGGTGGGGTGTGGGGTCCTGGGGGGTGTGTGGGATCCTGGGGATCTCCGGGGGGGTCTGGGGGGTCCTGGACGAGATGTGGGTCCGTGGTGCAGTGTGGGGGTCCCTGGAGAGAGTGGGACCCTGGGGGTCCTTGGTGAGCCGTGGGAGTCCTAGGGGGGTTTTGGGGCCCTGGAGGGGTGTGGGGCTGCGGGGACCCCTGACCGAGTGTGGGGGACCCAGACGGGACTGGTGGGATGTGGGATGTGGAGGGGATGTGGGACCCTGGGAGTCCTTGGTGGGGTGTGGGTGCCTGGGGGTCCCAGACAAGGTATGGGGGTCCCTGGGGGTCCTTGGGCAGGTGTGGGACCCTGCGGGTCCTTGGCAGGGTGTGGGGGACCCTGGTGTGGTGTGAGGCCATGGGAGGGGTCTCCTGTGGGGAGGGGGAGGCTCTCTGTGGGGCTGTGTAGGGGGTCCCCTGTGGGGAGGGGGCTCACTTTGGGGCGGTGCAGGAGGACCCTGACAGCTGTGGGGCTGGGTGGGGTCAGGCTGGTGGGGGGCTTGGGGTGCTGTGGCCCTGTCCAGGCCCGTGTCCATCACCTGCTGTTCCGTGTCCCAGGACAAGCTCGTGGACCGGTGCGAGCGGCTCCAGCTGCAGAGTGCGGCCATCGTCCGGCACGTGGACGAAGTGCTGCCTGCCAAGGACCAGGCTGTGCTGGTGAGTCCCTGCCCCTCTCCCAGCACAGCTGGCCCCATGTGCTCTGTGCTCACCAGTCCCATTGGAGATGCCGAGCTCTGGGGGGCTCATCAGTGTGCAGGAGTTGTCCCCTCCTACCCCACAGCTGTGGAAGTGGAGTTCTAGGGTGTGCCTATGATTGCTGCCTCACCTGCCTAAAAAATGCACATGGACAGTATGTTTCTTGGTGTCAGTGTAGCAATCAAACATCCCACTAGGACCAGTGTCTTAGCAATTCCTGGTTTTATTTGTTCCTTCCTATCTCTGAGCATGAGGGCAAAGGACAGTTATAGAATCATAAAATCACAGAGTGGTTTGGGTTGGAAGGGCTTTAAAGACCATCTTGTTCCAACCCCCTGCCATGGGCAGGGACACCTTCCACTATCCCAGGTTGCTCCAAGCCCTGTCCAACCTTGCCTTGGACACTTCCAGGGATGGGGCAGCCACAGCTTCTCTGGGCAACCTGTGCCAGGGCCTCACCACCCTCACAGGGGAGAATTCCTTCCCAATATCCCATCTATCCCTGCCCTCTGGCAGTGGGAAGCCATTTCCCCTTGTCTTGTCCCTCCAGGCCCTTGTCCAAAACCCCTCTCCAGCTCTCCTGGGGCCTCTTTAGGCACTGGAAGGGGCTCTAAGGTTTTCCCAGAGCCAGGCTGAGCAGTCCCAGCTCTGTCAGGCTGTTCTCATGTGTCTCACCAATAGTGAATCCATGGAGATCTGCCGAGGGACAGGACTCTGGTCCTTCACAGGTTGTCACAGTTAGGCCAGGAGGCTGTAGGTGGGTTTGGGACTGGTTGTCCCATTTACCTGCGCTTGTATCGTGACAGTTGCTGTGGCCTGGGCTCAGTTAACAGAGTAATGTTGGTGGCTGAGCCCACAGGGAGCCGGCGGGAGCAGCTGGGGCTCTTGCTGGGGCTGCAGCCAGGCTGATGTTGCTGCTGTCCCTGCCCTGGCAGAACGCGGCCAACGCGGCGCGGGAGCTGGTGATCCAGAGGCTGCTCTTCGTGGGCAAGGCCTGCGAGAACGAGGAGCAGCGGCTGCTGGAGAGGGTGCACGCGGAGGAGGAGAGGGCACACCAGAGCATCCTGACCCAGCAGGTGCACTGGACAGAGGCTCTGCAGAAGCTGGGAGCCCTCCGGACCTACCTGGTGGACATGATCACCAACCTGGATGACCAGGGCCTGCTGGTGAGAACTGCTCCGTGTTCTGAGGGACGGGTCAGGCAGCCCAGGGGTCACCTGGACCTCTTACCGTGGGACTTAAATATGGTGTTCAGCAACTGCTGTGCTGACAGCAAGGAGGCAGAGCTGGGCAGGACCTACATCTGCGGGTCTAGCTCAGGGAACCTCCTTGACCTGGTCCTGACAAGCCCCCGTGGTTTCTCAGTGGTTCCCAGAGCATCTGCTCTTGCTTGCAGTGAGGTCCAGAACCCCCCACGCTCAGGTGTCCAAGCTCTTGGCTTGCAGCTGCCCTTAGGCCAGACAGCCAGGACAGCTGTGGGCTGAGAGCTGCTCTTACAGCAGTTCATTGTGCCACCAGTTTTCAACTGTTGTGTGTAGTTTGAATCAAAACTGCTTTGGGAGCACCTGCAACTCTTCTGGAAAGTCCCCCCTGTCATCTGGCACAGCTCTGTTTGGGATATTTGCTGTGCAGAGCAGCCTGTGCTTCCCCTCCCTCAGTTCCTTCTCTGGTTATTGAATTGTCTGGGTTTACCCAAGTGATTCCTCTCATTTTGGAAGGGAGCAGGATGGCCTACCACACCATCTCAGCCTCTGCTTCCCACATGGAAGTTTGTGAGAAAGAGGGCAGCAGCTCTGCTTGGAAAACAGACCCGACCCCATAGAGAGAGGGCAGATATTCCTTTGGTAGGAAAAGCAGTGTCTGTCCTGCCCCAGCACCTCTGCTGGGCTGTGGCTGCACCATGGAGAGCAGAGGCTGGAGGGCAGGACCCATCAGCTACCTGTGCCAGAGAACAGCCAGAGAACCTTTTGCCACATGGTGGAGGGGAATTAGGGACCATGTGTTCTCCACTTGGATGGTTGGTGTTGGTACTTGTGTCTATCAGGAATCAGCACGTGCCATGCCACAGGCCTGCAGCTCGGATTTGAGCAGGGATCAGATATTTTCCTACCACTTCACTGTATCTGGAGAATGCTTGTGACCAGCAGGAACAGAAACAAGTGGGACCAACCACCTGACTCTTGACTTAGTTCCTCTGCCACCACCCCCCTTGCTGAAAGCCCTGGGGTTGTTTGCTGGAAGCACAGGCTGTTCCTGCAGCATTCCCTAGTGGAGTGGGAGCAGAGGGAGGGCAGCAGACAGTGCCCCAACTGTAGAGGTGTATTTCCCTCAGCCATTCCCACTCATTTTCTGAGTTGGGGGTGGGAAGTGCTGCAGCTAAGGAAAATGGATGTTGGATGCTCTCCCTGCTCCCCAGGGTTGCTGTTGGGGTGAGGGGTGGTTTCTCTGGGTCAAGAAGGAGAACACTGCTCCTGGGTCCTGGGTTTGCTGTGCCCCAGCCTGTGTTTGGGATCTGTGGGCATTTCAGCTCTGGTGACTCCTTCTTTCCTTGTCCCCAGCGCGCAGAACGAGAGATCTTCGAGAGGTCAGTGCCTGGCTGCTCCTGCTCCTTTCCCTGACCCTACTACAGGCTCACCTGCCTCCCTGCAGCTCCTGTGCAGTGCCATGGCTCAGGCACCCGGGACACCTCTGTGCTGCCTCGTGCTGCTTCTGTTGGGGACAAGGACACAGCACAGAGATGCCACTCTGGTCCCTGCTCCGGAGCAGCCTGGCCCCTGGAGATGCTCCATGTGCAGTGCCAGATCAGCAGCCCTTGTTTACAGGAGAACTTCTCCAGCTCCTTAGAGCACTCCCGGGGGCTCACTGGGGGTTGGAGCAGGCCTGTCCCTGCTGTTGGCAGGAGGTGGGATGGTCCTGGTGGGAAGCTGGTGTGCTCCGTGCTGGGGTGGCTGGCACAGCGTCAGTGTCCCCATCAGCACCGTGGGTGACACTGGGCTGCCCTTCCCTGAAGAGGCACCTCAGGGGCTGGGTTTTCACAGCCTTTTGTCTCCGTGGCTCCTGTGGGGGTGCTGGCCCTGTGCTGCCCAGAGGGCTGGTGGGGTATTTGTGCCTGTAGAGAGCACAGAATGTGCCACAGCCTTTCCTCACAACCACGAGTTGCGTGGGTGCTGCAGGCCACAGGAACAGCAAACCGTCTGTGTCTTGCTGTGCTGGGTGAAACCCGGCTCCTGCCACACCCCCTGGGCTCCAACTGTTATAAAGAGGGAAATCTGAGTCTCTCACTGTTCATTGGGCTCCCTTTGTACCTTGATGGCCGCTCTCAGACACATTTATTTACCCTGTGTCTGCTGAGTGAGGAGCTGTTGATTCAGGCTGCTGGGATGTGTTTTACAACACTGCAGTCCTTTCACAAGGGACTGTAAGCGAAGCCAACCGAAAGTATCACTTAAAGTATCACTTAGGGCGAGAATTGGCTCAGAAACCCCCTCCGGGGTCACTCTGCAGCCAGAGCTCCTCTTTAACCTCTGCCATACCTCCTAAGTGATCTTTATAAACACCTCCCAGCACAACAAATCTTTGTATTTCGAAATTACTCTTGTTTTCCTTTGCTAGGACAGAGGTGGCGGAGGGAATCTTGGAGCCACAGGAGTCCCTGAAGTTAAACTTTAATCAGACGTGTGTTCAGAGTCCACTCCTGCACCGACTGTGGGCCTCTGCTGTGCTCTGCTGCCTCACAGGTCAGTGTCACACGAGCTCTGGGGATTCCTGCACCCTCATTCATGTTGTGTCCAAAGGAACACCCTCATGTTGTGTCAAAACCTCCTGGTGCCCTGTCCTGCCCCTCTGCTCTCCCAGCCCCTGCTTGTTTCCTGGAACCCCCCAGCCAGGGGAGCAGCAGCAGCAGCAGCTGTGGGAGGTTTGGGGGGTGCAATGGGGGCTCCAAGCAGGTTGTGGCTCAGAGCAGAACCGGAGTTTGAAAAGACACTTTGTTTTATCAGCTTTGTGGCTTAAGCCCACGTGGTTTCTTTTGCTGTTTCCTGGGTGGCTTGGTGACAGCAGTGAAGCTGACTCTGCTGGGGAATCTCTGTCACAGAAATCCCTCTTCACCACGTTCAGCACTGGGTTGCTGGGCATTTTAAAAGAGGGTGAGTTCACCTGTGGGGTGTCTGTGAGATGCTCTGAGCAGCAGAGTGAGCAGTGAGGAGATGCAGCAGCTTTCTGCTCACAGGCTGAGATTGTGGCTGTGCACGAGCTGGTGGGTTTTAGGGGTGTTTGTGCTCTGGCTCAGCTCTTTCTGTACAGCTGGGGCTGCACTGGAGGTGTTTGCCAGGCCAGTGACAGGCTCTGGGTACGGGTTTAGCAGGTTGGTGTTGAGCAGGGAGAGACAGTTTTCTCCTGGCTGTGATGTGCTTGGGTGGCTGGTTGTGAAATATTTGGTTTTACTCTGACTTTCAGGCCATCACTAGAGCATTTCAAACTTGAGTTTTGTTTCTCAGAGGTGGCAACGTCCTTTGCAGGTTGCTTCATGAACAATCCCTGGGGTGATTTTCCCAAAGTTTTTGTATTAACTTTGCTGATGAGCTGTTTCAGTTTTTCCCTATTTCCAGGCCCCTTTCCAAGGTCTGTGCTTTGGCCTTTTCTTGATCCTGTAGTTTTGACTTCTGCTTGAAAATCTGTGCTACCAAGCACCACATCATCTGTTTCTTCTACTGCAAACTCTGATGTCATTCTCCCTTTGTGATTCATTTTCCTCTTTTGAGTCTTTGGATGCTGGCAGTTATGGAAGGTGTCCCTGCCCATGGCAGGGGGTTGGGTGATCTTTAAGGTCCCTTCCAACCCAACCCAGTGTGGGATTCTGTGCCAGCTCCTGCAGTTGTGCATTGACAGTGTCACACAGAATCACTGAGGTTGCAAAAGCCCCCCAAGACCATTGAGTCCAACCTTTGATCAGTCCCCACCTTGTCCTCCAGCCCAGAGCACTGAGTGTCACATCCAGTTGTTCCTTGGACACCTCAATGAAGGGGATTCCACCACCTCCCTGGGCAGCCCCTTGCAATGCCTGACCACTCTTTCCATGAAGAAATCCTTCCAGAAAGAATCAGTTGAGTGGGTTCTTGGCTGATGTTCTGAACCATAAAGTCAAGGAAGAAACTTTTCCCTAATTCTCTTTGTTGTGACATATTTTTTAAAGGATTCCTCTCCCAATACCATCCTTGTAAACATGTAATGGCTCTAAGGCATTCAGTGCTTGTAGTGGGTGTGTTGGTGCACTTATGACACAGGAATTTCACTCTGTTTGGGTTTCTTTTTGAGTGTGTGTTTACATTTAACGTGTCATTATTGCATGCTGAGGATTCCTGTTGTATCCTTGTGGATCTCCTCAGTCCACAGTCCACCCAGGACCAAACCTTAGAGATTTAATATTAACTGCAGTGGTCTGAGCTTGTTAAGACACAGTAATGTTATGTGTCACTTTGTGATCCCTTCTCCCAAAGGTAGTTGAACAGTTGGCTGTCTTGTTTATTTGCTTGAAAACACAAAATTCCCAGCCTTGACAGCTTGCTCCAAACCTCTCAAAAACTTGGAAAGCAGCAGGAAGAAGAGCCTCCATTTCCCTCTCAGAAATAAACACGATTCCTTCGATGTCTTCACTTGGCATCCAGGCCTCTGTATCACTTACATGTGAGGTTGGCAGCTTCTTCCTTACACCAAGAGATGATGTAAATCTCCTGGCACAGTTCTGGGAGGAATCTGGGTTCATGGGAACTTGGATTTTTAAAAGCAGTCAGATGTGCTGCAGCCAACGTGTGTGTGCTTACCAGAGCTGTTAACCATGTTAACCTGGCATCCCTCATCTCCCAAGGCCACCCTGATGGGTACAGGACACAGAGAAAATAGATTTGGGGGTGAGATGAATTCCTGATTTAATCATTAATCAGAATATATGGGAGAATCTGAAGGGCAGATTTAATCATGACAAAACACCTGTGTGTGTGGGAAAATGTGCTGATCTGAATTACTCTGCTGTCACCCTGCCAGTGCTCCCCCTCCCTCAGATGCTCCCCTGGAATTCCAGCACTGTGGGTGTCTCTGGGGTGGTGTTTCCCTGTGTGGATGATCCCTGTCCTGGAGCACTGGAATGCAGCCCTAGGTTAGATGTGTGCTGCACAATACGAGGTTTAGTGCCCTCCTTCTGTCAGAGGAAGATAAATTCTGGTACTGCTCCCTTTTCTATGAATTCAGAGCAGCTTTTGGCTTCCTGGAAAGCCACCCTGCACACGGGCAGCGTGGGCAGCCACGGCCACGGAGCTGTGGAGGGCACGGCTGGGGTTTGGCTGCTGCTCGGGGAAATAACTCAAGGGGAGGAGGCTGGCAGCTCCAGCTGCAGGGGATGTGGCTTCAGCTCCTTCTTGGGCTCTCTCTTGCCTGCAATAGCTCCCACCTAACACTGAAGTGTGTGTGGCATTTCCCTCCAAAGGGATAATTCAGCCTCGGTGCATCTGCCAGGGAGCACCTGGGGAGGTGCAGCCCGAGCTGCTGCTGGGTCTGCTCCCTGTCAGAGGGATGTGACCTGGGCCCTGGAGCAGGTTTGGCTCTGGGATGACCCTGCTCAGGGTGCAGTGTGATGGTTTGGTTCCTTAGGGCCTCATCCTGCCGTGTGCTGGGCGCTGAGCAGAGGGTGGTTGGGCATTCCAGGGTAGAGCTGGTGGCAGGGCTGGGACAGCCACTGACTCCCCTGCTCCAGCCTTGCTTCCCTGGCAGTTTAAGACCTAAAATGAATGAAGTGAGAGTGGAGGAAGGCAGGGCAAAGAGGGGCATCCACTGGCAGGAACTGGGAGCAGGTGAGTCAGCTGGACATCAGCCTCATCTCTGCTTCACAAATTTAGGGATCGAGGGACCCGCTCGTGCAGTTACTCAGCACTCACAGGGTCTGCAGACCCACTGAGGGGTCTCGGGGAGGGCTCTGCAGCCAGGGCAGGGCACTGTGATCTTAGAGGTCTTTCCCAAAATTAGTGATCCTATGATTCTGTGCTCCTGAAATGGTGCAGACCCCCATGGGGTGCAGGGTCCTCCAGCCAGCCTGGCTCACCCCGGGCTGGGTTTGTGCAGCTGGGCAGCCCCGACTTCCCAGCAGAACCAGACTGAGCCAGGGCTGTGCTCATCTCTAAGCCTGGTGCCACCTCCCCCCACTGCTCCCAGCCCCTCAGGGTGGGTTGATTAACAACTGGGGCTTTGTAGCAGGAGAGAGATTGCCCTGCCCAACCCTCTCCATCCCTCCCCATTCCTGTTTTACTGGCTTTGCAGGTTTCTGCTCACAGCCCTGTCCTTGCCAGGCTCTTGGCTCACCCTTGCTGGGGGAGGAGCAGCCAGGCCCTGCTCACCCACCATGGGGGTGGGAAGGGACAGGAACTGAGGTTTGGGTCTCTCCCAAAAGCAAGGTGAGTTGAACCTACTGAGTTCTGTTTTGTGGGAAGTCAGGCCAGGGGCAGAGTAAAGATGAGCAGCATCTTTGACTCTCCAGGGCTTTGTGCAAGGGTGTAGAGGTGCGTGGGGAGTCTGGGCTTAGGTGAGTCTCTGCCTTGTTCTGGCCCTGGCTGAGAGAAGGAGCTGTGGGAATGGCTGTGCTGGCACCCCTGGGAGCAGATGTGTCCCCAGCAGTGATGTGTGAGGAGAGGGTGGTTGTGGTTCTGTTTCTGATGGCCATAACTGCTTCATGTGGTTCAGGTGAGGGCTACCAACTCTGTGCTCTCAGTGTGGCTTCTCTTTCAGGCTCACAGGAGATTCACATCGATGAGAGAACCCTCAGCCCCCACCTCAGCCTGTCGGAGGACAAGAGAACGCTGACCTTCAGTCCCAAGAAAGCCAAGGTGGACTTGGACTGCCCGGAGCGGTTTGACCACTGGCCCAACGCCTTGGCCACTGCAGCTTTCCACTCCGGGCTGTGTGCCTGGAAGGTGGGCGTGGAGCAGAGCTGTGCCTACAAGCTGGGGGTTTGCTACAGCTCCGTGCCCAGGAAGGGCTCTGCCAACGAGGGCCGCCTGGGATTCAACGCCGCCTCCTGGGTGTTCTCGCGCTACGACCGGGAGTTCCGGTTCCTGCACGCGGGGCAGCCCCAGCCCGTGGAGCTCATCAAGGCCCCGGCCCAGATCGGGGTGCTGGTTGACTTTGCGGGGGGAGAGGTGCTTTTCTACGACCCCGACTCCTGCACCATCCTCTTCTCCCACAGGGAGACCTTCACGGAGCCCGTCTACCCCGTGTTTGCCGTGGCGCACCAGAGCATCTCACTGGTCCAGTGAGCAGGGCCTGAGTGTGACTGTGTGTGCCCTGCACTGTGCCCTGGGGGGAAAGGAGCCCAGGCAGGGCTGTGGGCTGTGTACAGTGTTCAGACAACACCTGCCTTCACACTACAGCTGTTCTTCATGTGTTTTACAGCAGCTCTCCTGTCCTGTGTCTGCCGTGCTGGGGCGAGGGGTCAGGGAATGTCTGGCTGGGCCAACTGCTCTTAGGTGGATTGTTTAATTTCTGCCTGACCAAGGGCAGCTTTCCAGCCTGGTGGGAGGCTGTGAAAAATGGGACAAATAGTAAGAGGTGTGTATGGAGAGATGGCAGGGAGGAGGCACGTGGAAAGGGAAATAACAGCTCTACAACTCCCTGACAGGAGGGTGGAGCCAGGTGGGGCTTGGTCTGTTCTCCCAAGTAACAAGTGACAGGACGAGGAAACAGCATCAAGTCACTCTGGGAGGGTTCAGGTTGGGTATTGGGGAAAGTTTCTTCACTGAAAGGGTGGTCAGGCATTGGCATAGCTGCCCAGGACAGTGGTGGAGTCACCAGCCCTGGAGGGGCTTGAAAGGCGTGTGGATGTGGCACTTGGGGACATGGGTGAGTGGTGGCCTGGGTAGTGCTGGAGGAATGGTTGGACTTGATCCTAAAGGTCTTTTCCAACCTAAATGATTTTGTGATTCTCTGATTGGGACCCAGCTGGACACACACTTTTGGGAGGAGCTGCCCCATTGCAGAGCAGGACAGTGCAGGGAGTTGTCCCCTGCTGGGCCAGGGGCACCCCTGAGGGGCTGTGGCTGCTGTCCAAGCAGGGGAGCAAGCAAGGAGCAGCAGAAAGAAACCAAACCTGAGCGTCACCAAAGGGAGTGGGGGTTGAGGTTAACATGGTGCAAACACAGGGAGCTGATGGAAGGCAGGGAGGAAGGAGAGGTGTTGGCCTGGAGTTGAGCCAGGGAGCAGGGCAAGGGGTTTAAAATGGTCATTTTATTTCTCACTGCCCAAATCAGTGAAGTTTGTTAATTGTCAGTTGGTTAAGTGAAGTTGCCCAACTCCAGATTGTTCAGTCTACAGAGGGAGACCTGCAGCCACCTCCAGGCCACTCCTGTTGGGAAGAGGGGGATGCAAGGCTGGGGTACACTGAGGTGTGCAGGGCCTGTGCAGGAGTGTCCTGAGTGCTCTGTTTGGGCAGACCTTCCCTGGGATGGGCAGCCTGAGTGTTCTCTTTGAGACCTTCCCTGGGACTGAACCAGCACTTGCACTGGGGGATTCTTGATCCTCTCCCCAGGGTGACTGAGAAGGGATAAACCTCAATGTCTGCCTCCATCTCACCTGCCAGATTGAACCTCTGGAGCGTGACCCATTCCCAGCCCCGTTGGGGGAAGACAACATTGCTGACACCCCCCCCTTCTGGAGTGTTTTTAGAGCCGTGAAACAAAGCAGCAGCACCACTGGCTGTCAGATATGTTTTATTGCAGGAACACCCCTCCTGCTCCCTGTGCTTCATCCGCTCGCTGCTGTTTCCTGCCCCCCTGGCAGCAGGGAATCCCACATCAGGACCAGTTCAGCACCCGGCAGCAGCGCTGGGCTCCTCCAAACCGCAGCTACCCCTTCTCGATCCGGGCCAGGAGGTGGCTGAGGGTGGGCAGGACGTGCTCGGGGGGCACCTCAGGCTCCGGGCCCTGCCCGGCCGTGCGGAGCAGGAAGCTGTGCATGCCCACGGCCCGGGCTGCCCGGTAATCCCGGGTGTAATCATCCCCAACGTGAGCCGCCTGCTCCGGGGGGACGCCCCCGAGCCGCAGGGCCTCCTCGAAGATCCTCCGGTCAGGCTTGGCGACCCCCGCGGCCTCGGAGGTGAGCACGAACTCGAAGTGGTGCCGCAGGTTGCACTGCGAGAGGATGTTTTCCAGCCGGTTGTCGAAGTTGGACACGATGCCCATGTGGAAGCCGCGCTGGCGGCACCAGCTCAGGGTCTCCTCGGCCCCCGGCAGCAGCTCCCAGTTGTGGGAGCTGCAGTAGTCGCGATAGAGCTTCTCCGCCAGCGCCGTCAGGGCTGCGCCGTCCTGCGCCCCCGAGAGCACGAAGGCCTGTTTGACCACATCCACCCACCACTGCCGGGAGCTGAGCCCCTGCCCCCGGCCGTAGTTGGGGAAGCGGCGGCTCTGGGCCCCGTAGGCCTCCCGGAACGCCCGTCCCAGAGCCTCCGGCTGCACCTGCAGCCCCTGCGCCCGCGCCTCGGCCGCGTAGCTCTGCCCCACGGGCCGCCGCAGCCGCAGCAGAGTGTCCTTCACATCCCAGGTCAGCAGGCGCAGCCTGAGCATGGCCTCGGGTACAAGGGCAAAGGCAGCCAAGGACACAGAGCCAGGCGCTCCGAGAGCGAGTCAGTGCCAGTCACATCGGAGGGGTGTGGGCACCCCGGCCCTCCGTCCGCCTCAGTCCCGGGGTCAGTGTCCCTCGTGGGGGGCTCAGGGCCCCGCTGGGGTCCGCACGGACACACGGCAGGGAGGGAAAACGCCCTGCTGCGAGCGCCAGGGGCGAAGTCCGCCAGGCCGGGCAGCGACACTCCCCCCGCGGGCGCTGCAGCCGGGGCGGGCGGGGGCACCGGGGCTGGACCGGGCTGGGGGGACGGGGCACAGCCGGCACCACACCGGGGTGTGCAGGTGGGTGTGCGGGGCACGCGGGGCTGGGCCCGGGGAGGGTGCACGGGGTGTCCCCGTGGAGGGAGATGCGGTACCGGTGTCCCCCGGGGGGTGCGGAGCGGGCCCGGGGCTCACCGGGCTCCAGTGGCTGGGAGTACTCGCGGTGCCGGGGCCCACCTGCACCGCCCCCCGGAAATCCCGCCCATCCCGGCACTCCCGCCCATCCTGGAAATCCCGCCCATCCCGACACTCCCGCCCATCCCCGAATTCCCGCCCATCCCGGCAGTCCCGCCCCGCGGCCGCAGCCCCGCGCTCAGGCCCGTCCCGCCGCCTCCTCCCGCAGCCAGCGCAGCAGCTGCGGCGCGAAGTAGGTGATGATGATGTCGGCACCTGCGGAGAGACGAGAGGCTGCAGCCGGCCCGGGGACACGCGGGGGACGCGCGGGGGGCACGGGGGGCGCAGCCTCACCTGCCCTCCTGAAGGCCGTCATCGCCTCCCGCACCGCCGCCTCCAGCCCGAAGGCTCCCGCCTGCGCCCCGTGCCACAGCATAGCGAACTCCCCCGAGACGTGGTACACGGCCAGCGGGTGCGTGGGGTGCTGCGGGGACACGGTCAGCCCTGCGCGCGCCGTGCCCTCCCCGCACAGTCCCGCACATCACACGCACAGCCACACCCCCCCCGTCCCTCCCCAGTGCCCTCCCTGCCCAGCAGGAGCTCACCCGAGCCTTGACATCCCGCACGAGGTCCAGGTAGGGCATCCCCGGCTTCACCATCAGCATGTCCGCTCCCTCCCGCACGTCCCGGTCCTGCCACGGGAACACGGCACACGGGGGACAAGGACAGAGTTCTCAGCGAGGCCCGGGTTGGTTTTCCAGGACAGTTTGCTGAGCCCCTCCCGGCCACAGGAGCCCAACTGTGGGCTGACACTCCCCTGCCACACACAGTGCCTGGGCAACGCTGGTGGCTGCGTGTCCCTGGATCTGATGTCCCAGTACAGGGGCACCAACTCCACAGCTCCCACTGCCCAGTCCTCGAGCACACACTGGGACCAGCTCTGGCAGGCTGATGGACCTCATGTTTTGTTTATCTCATGGAAAGGGAAGACCCTTGACCCTTTTGGCTGGTTTGCCTCCCACCCCCTTTTGACTCTTTTGCTCTCCCCAAGCCCTGGGGTGATCACCCGGGCCCCACTGAGGGTGCCCAGCCCCACATCCGTAACCCCATGTGCCCCATTGAGGGTGTCCAGCCCCACAGCCATAGCCCCACGTGCCCCACTGAGGGTGTCCAGCCCCACAGCCATAACCCCACGTGCCCCCCGCACTCACCACGGCGCGCTGGGCCAGGCCGCGGGCGCCGGGGGGCAGCTGGTAACACCTCCTGTCACCGAAGGCGGGTTTGGAGAGCGCGGCGTCCCTGGAGAGGGGCAGGGCAGGGGGCAGGGGGTGAGGACCCCTGTGCCTCCCACCTCGTACAGCTTCAGGAACGGGAGGCCAGACGAGGTCAAGTGTCTGAGCCACTGAGTCAGGAAAATGGGGCACTCCCGAGCCACCTCAGCACCCCAGGATGGCTCTGGGAGGTCCTACAGGCCCTGGCTGGCCCTGAGAGCTGTTTCAACAGCCACTGCCCTCCCCATGCCCAGAGTCTGGGTAAAATCATGTCAGACTCTTTTCCAAGGCAGGTTCCTCAGGGATACCCTGCCAGGGTCAGGCTGTTCTTGGGACAAGGTCCAACAGCTGACTAAGCTGAAGTTTGTCCCTGAAGCCACCCTTTGGGACAACACTGGCTCCTGTGACTCCCTCCCTGTTCCTGGACATTGCAGGCAGCTCCCTCTCTGCCTGCCTTGCCAGCAGCACTGAGGAGGAGCAGGTGAGGAGGTAAAGGATGGAAGATCACCTGGGCAAGGTATAATCGTCTCCTTTTTGCACGGAGGAGTAGGAGGAAGGTGCTGCAAAGTGACCAGTGTGGCCCCACCTGCAGCTCTGGTTGAGCCCCCTTCCCAAATAACTATCTGGGAACACACTCCCAGCCATCCTGGCACTGGCTGGGCACACCTGGCTGAGGGACAGACCCACCTGAAGGGTCCATAGAAGCAGGAAGCAAACTTGGCACTGTAGCTCATCACGGAGACCTGCGGAGCAGAGCGGGGCCGTGAGGGCTGGGAGCTTGGAGCCACAGCCACAGAGATTCCCTCCCGTGGCTGTTTTATCCTCCCCCTCCCAGAGGCACCTGCTGTTCCCACGGACATTCCTGTAGTGGCTGTGGCTCCTGCCCCTGGCACACACAGGTGCCCAGCTCACCTTGTTGCCCAGGTCGTTGGAGATCAGCGCCTGCTTTATGGCCCCGATGCGCCCGTCCATCATGTCTGAGGGGGCCACGATGTGGCAGCCTGCAGGGAAGGACAGGGATGCAGGAAGGACAGGGATGCACGAAGGACAGGGATGCAGCGAAGGACAGGGATGCAGGAAGGACAGGGATGCAGGAAGGACAGGGATGCAGGAAGGACAGGGATGC